AACCCTATCCTGTCCCTTATAAACATATTTGTAAAGATATTTAACTAATCTAACACTTGAACATATCTCTACATTAAAATAACAGTTATATTTTTAACTTAAGTATAGATTATAAGAAACAATCCATTTATTATCAATATTAACTATTATTTTTTTTTTATAAATTCTTTTTAAATTTATTCTTTTTCTATATATAGGATATCCAGTTTTATTTGTTGTTGTTTCTGCAGTAAGATCGCTTAAAAAATATTTACTGTATTTTTTATTAATCATACATGGAGAATCTGTATTAACTTTTTCACAGAGTCTATGAACTATGCATTTGCTAATTATATTATATAATTTTGGTTAGTCCATAGGATCAGGTATTTTAGCAAATATAATTTTATTATAATCTTTAGGAGTTTGTAGTTTATCTTCAGATACCAATATAAGTAATATATAAGCATGTGGTAACTCTTTTTTTTGAAACTCAACTATATATGTATTTGCAATAACTTTTCCCAATATATCTTTTACAACTAAATCATTAATTATTGCATTTAATTTTAATTTAAAAACCCTTGTAACCAAATCTTGCCTATTGGCAGATTTTTGCTTTAATAAAAGTTCTAATATAATCTCAGACTATTTTGAATTACATGTTACTGTTATAAACAGATCAGGTTTTTCAAATTCTCTAACAATTGCTATAGAATCTTGATACAATTGTGTAAATATCTTGTAGACCTAGTAAAGCTTGATGACAAAATTATTTTTTTGCCAACTTTATCAAGATTGGCATCTTTATTAGAAATTATATCTTGTAATCCTTAATAGATTTCTGATTTTAAATCTTTTTAATTTTTATAATGCCAACTTAAATTATTTGTTTCCCACTTCACATACTGGTCTACTATATATTATTGAAACAATCTGCCTGAAAAATGCAGAATGCTATTATTTTGTTTGAGTTTCTAATCATAAATCTATAAACTACAAACTCTCTAATTGTTATTGTATTTTTTTTTGGTTTTGGTTGAATTTTTGATGATCTCTCCATATTTCATCATTATCATTATCACCATTATCATTATCACTATCATCACTATTATCATCTTTATTACTATTATTATTATCAGATAGTCTTTCTGATTTAAAAATTTCATTTTTATCAAATTCAACTTTTTTGCTTTTAGATATCTTTCTTTGCTTTATACAGGATTATAAAGATTATTATTATCTTCTGCTTAAACTTAAACTTCTTCTGTTTCTTCTCTAGCTCTTTTTTTCTCTTGCTTTATAGAAGATCTACTTTCCAAATATTTTTTATCACCTATATCAATATTTTCATCATCAAGACTCACCATACTTGATGAATTCCTAATAGTTGCAAATTTTAAAACACTTGTTAATCCTGTTTTACTTTGTAATTCTCTTTCTAATAAAGTATTAAAGTCAATATTAGAGATATCACTTGTTTCAGCTTTAGAGGTTTTAGAGACTTTAGGGTATTAAGCCATCTTTTTTTTAAGAGCTCTTTTTTCTTTTTTCTTTTTATCTCTTGCTTTTGCAAAGGCCTTCATTTTTTATTTAGTCTAGTACATATAATCTGGTTTATCATAATCATCATTATTATTATCATCATCTGATTTTTTAGATTCAATTTCATCACTTTTTAATATTTTTTTATGCCAACTATATTCTCTACATGGAAATAACAAAGAATATGCTAAAGAATTATATGCACTATATAATTCAAATATTCTTTCTAATTCATCATCATGTCTTATAATAACAATATTTCTTACATGCATATTTTCATTAGACCAACAAATTTATCAGCCTATGGTGCATTATATTATTTTATATCTTTGCCATGCTTATTATATATTAAAATATAATAAAAAGGTTTTTTTAGGTCCTCATTTCCTGTATACATATAAGTGTGTACAAAAGGATTTAAATCTATTAATATACTTTTTATATCAATTATCATATCCCTGTTTAATGCTTGCTATATTACTTCATGTTTTCTATTAATTTGTACTTCAATATTATTAGAATCTGAAAATATATTTGAAAAAATTTTGGTATTTTCCCATGTTCTGGCAAACATGAGCTAATTTGATGATAATGATTACCCTAATCCTATAACTATAAGCCCTCTTTTTTCTTGGCAAAATCTAAATCTAAATCAGTAACAATTGATATAAAAGCAAATATTTGATTACATACTCTTATTTTGTTAACAAATAGTACTTTAGATATTAGGTTTTTTTCTGTAAGCAAATAATAAATTTCTGATGGAGCTTGAAGTGGTGCTAATATAACTTTACCATTTATACAACAAAGTCCTGGTTTTTTTCTTTTTTATTTTAACGCCCTACAATGTTTACATTCAATATCTATTTTTCTATATTATGTCATTTATTATTCTGTTTATTATTTTCATCATCATTATCATTATCATCATTATTATTACTATCATCCTCACCATCATTCTTACCATCATCTCTATTATCATCTCTATCATTATCATCTCTACCATTATCCTTAACCTCCTTCTGATATTTATTCAAACTACAATATCCTATTTTATAAAATTGTTTAAATTGTTTTTGTTTTTTTTTTTCATATTTTTTTCTATCTTTTTTTCTATTTCTTTTTTTTACTTTTTCTTTTTTTGCTTCATTCAAAGAAGCTCTATATATTCTCATTGTCTATTTTTCTGACCTTTTTTTGTTTTTAATCTTGTTTCTGATAATGCTTTAGAAGCTTTAGAAGTTCTAGATCTTGTTCTTGTTAAAGATCCTGCTTCTTCTTGTTCTTTTTGGTAATATCTATATTTAGTATTTCTTTTATTTTTTAATCTATTTTCTCTATTTTTTCTAGATTCAGTTTCAGAATTTTTAGGTGCTGGATATTGTTTTAAAATATAATTGGGAGTAGGGCCTCTTTGTTTTGTCTCTTTTTTTTTTTTTTTTTCTTTTGGCATTTTCTATCTCAATAAAAAAAAAATATAATAAAATTATTAATTATTTGTATAATTTATAAATAAAATAAAATATTTACTAAATAAATAATATAAATTTTTAAAATTTTAGCTTTAATTTTAAATTTTTTATCTTCTTTTTTAAATTTTATATATTTTATTAAATTTGTAAATTGGCAGTCAGAGAACTCTTTCTGACAATCACTAAAACTAAAATTTTCTAACAATTTTTGTAAAAACAGTAACTAGTAAGTAATGAAGAGCATGAAACTGAAAACTATAAGTTGGCAGTTGTTATTTAGAGGTAGTTTTAATACGCTACCTGCTAACTTCTTTAAAGTTTATCACTCACTGCTAGTACGGTACTTGTCATTTAGAAGTAGTTTTCATACGCTACTTGCCAACAAGTTTAGAGTTTATTACTTACTGAAAAGCAAGTATAGTAGCTCTTTCGCTTTTCTAAAAAAAGAGTTACTAGTTATCAGTTCTTTCAAGAATAAAATACTCTCTTTGGGTGCTAGTAGTCCTTTCCTTAAGTCTCTCTTGGTTCTGTCAGTTTTTTCCAAAATTTTCGACAAAAAGTAGACGATTCAGCTTACCCTTCCAAAAAATCAGCATTGTTTACCTCCCAAATTCAGACGTACCCAGGAATGCAACCATATGCCTTGTTTATCGGTGGATATGATACGTGACATAATCTATGGATATGGGTCCTCCACGTAACTGGGATCAGGTCTCTGGTATAAGAGACATCCGGAGGTGGCTGGTAGTCAGATATTAAAGTTCTTATATTGTAATCAAGATATACAAACGTTGCAGTTGTTATAAATTTTTTTCTTAAACCTAGTATGGGTTATAATAGTGTATTTCACTTCTTGTTTTGTTTTTTTTCTCTCATTTCCTTTGTGCTATTTCTTGATAAAGGTAGTTCTCTTCTTTGTCAGCTCTCAGGCTTTTCTCTTTGTGTTTCTTTTTTTTTATATCTTATTGTACCCTTTTTTCTTTTCTTTAAAAATACCTCTTTGTTCTATTTGTTTTTTTTCAGTTTGTTTTCTTGATAGTATTGGTAGTTTTGTATGAGATCATCACTTTCTTTTGCTCTTGGTAAAGAAAGGAGATATGAAGGGAAAAGCTTTGATGAGCTGACAAAGTTTATCTAACTTGTATACAGGTTGGTGCGACAAGTCGCAGTTGGGCACGTTTATCGTAGCCGGGTGATATCAGGCTCACAATCGTAAGACTCCCTGTTTTTTGGTTATGAATGATATATGTATTGTTCGAGAGAGCTTAGCTCTCACCTGAAATATAGTCCCAATAAATTGAGTACTGGCAAGACTGTTAAAAATTTAAAAAAAAAAAAAAAAAGATAAGCAACTCTCTTTAATAATCACTCATATCAAAATTTCAACTAACAAAAAACAAATCTTTTGTTAAAAAGATATAACCTTATAGTGTGGTTTGTTTAGAAGTCAATCTGAGGTCTGGAGAACTCTTCTAAAAAAACATTTGGTATACAAGCCAGGAGTATTATTATACAAGATAACTGACAGGCAGTGCTCTTGTATAAAAAATCTTAGTAAAAGGAAAAAATTTCAAAATAGGTTTCTATTTTGTCGATGAAGCTCAAAGGCTATTACTTTGAAGAAAAACACAAAGAAAACAACAGAAGTTTTGGATTTTAATATATTCCTTAGAAGTTTTGAAAGTATCTGCAACTGAAAACTTTTTATTATATTTTCACTATTTTGGAATTTTTTTTAGAAATTTTGGCCAAAAAGTAGGAAAATTAGCATATTCTCTTTAAAAAATTGGCAATGTATTTGGCAAGTTCTAAATTTGGAGATAGCAGTGATTTACAATAGTACTACAGAAAGGCTAAATTCAAACTAAGGCCTGAGAAAAAGAACTAAGTGACAGGTCCTAATGGTGAAAGACATACTAGCTAAACTATCAGGTTGTTGCACTAGAGAAAAAGAATATATGCTTTGAAGGTATGGACCAAGAAGAGAGTATTCTTTAGATATTTAAAACCTGAACAAACTAACTCTTCTGGGTTGCCAGCTAGAAGTAAGAAAGAAATTGATAAAAAATCTGGGTAAGAAAACAGTTTAAATGCAGGTACTGGGTTTGCTAAAAACCAGAACAAGAGCAAGAAGTTATAATAAGGTTTAATTAGAAAAGTTAGTGCTTAAAAAAGTCTATAGAATAGCAGTATTCCAAAAGGTGGCATGAAATATAAATATGGAATAGCAAATTAATATGTACTAATTAAGAAGAAGTTATAGGAACAAGTATATAAATATATGTATGGAACATGTATCACTATATTAAATTTACTTTAAGGATAGACTAAATATATATAGATTAGTAAGTCTTAAAGCAGAGTGCAAAATCTAGTTTGAGTAATACCAATATCTACTTAGTTTAGTGAGGAAACCCATTGGGTTAAAGAGCAGATGGAGGTAGTTAAAACCTGATAATTTAAATAAATACTTCTATAGTTGGAGTACAGGTATGACAAATAGTGTAGAACTCTTAGCATAGCACTACTGCTTTGAGCAAACTATTTAAATTAGGTACCAAAAGTGTATGTGTAGTTTAATATATCATCATTGTAATTATATTATAAAACTTCATCTATACTTTAATAAAAAGTTTTTCAGGCCAATGAAGATTACTTTAATACCAAAACTTAAAGATTAATAGTTAAAACTAATTTACTGTATTATTTTTTAAAAATTAGCAATAATATAAAAGTTGTAACATATTATTCTAATTTGTTTTTTATTTAAAAATATATCTAAAACAAAGTAATTAATTAGAGCTAGTTTTATATTAAAGCTAGAGTAAATTTATAGATAAAATATCTCTTTTGATATTTTTTATTAATAAATTTAAACACTTGTTTTTAATTTTTTTTTACTTTTAAAATTTTACAATTTGATTGGCTAATTAATGTAGATCTTTTGCTGCATGCCCAAAAGGTAGGATTCGAGGCATGGGTAAAAAAATCAGCATGCCTTTATGGGCATGCCTTGGATCGCAGCATGCCCAGTTTGCCTTTGGGGTATGCCCTATCTAGATCATGTGCGATCACATGACAATCAACCAATCAAATTCTATATCGCAAGTTCGACAAATGATATTAAATAGAAAATGGTTCACATTTTTCATTTGTGTATAACTGCATTACTACAATAATATTAGATGCATGTAAATTTTTTTAATTGTTATAAGCTTGTTTTTTGATCTTAACTGTTATTATATTTATTCGCATATTTTAGAAAG